TCGCCTTGCATCATCAACTCGATGTGTACGACTTTATATTAGAAGTTTGTATAATGGTTGATGAAAAACGATATAATTATTATAAATAAGATCGATACGCATATTTATCATATCACTTTGTACAACATCTAGTAGCATATTTTATCACATCGTACAACATCTCAACATGGGCCAGCCCAAGTCAGAATCTTAAAATGGGCCGAGCCGCAGTTAGCCCATTCTAGAATGGGCCAAATTCCGATTTGGGCCAGAACATATATATATATATATATTGTGTAACCATATCGTTTAGATAGATTAAGATCAGGGCCCATATACTGTATATCGCTGACTACGAGATTCTCACTTTCATACATATCTACATCCCACTTACGCCCATACAGATTTTATAAAATTTCGATTTTTAGCAAGAGAACTTTCCCAAGATTAATATTAAGCAATTTCAAACTTTATAGTATAAATCGGGAGATTAGCAACTGAGTCAAAAAAAGCTCCACTCCCAACGCCTTAAGAAAGTTACTTAATGCGTTATTAAGATTCTCCATCCGGTGCCTAGCATAAATTTTACTGCGCTGATGTTTAGATAAAATAATATTCCTTTCTTATTCTCAGTGAAGATTAAAATAACAAGAGGGTAACCATGTCATAATAGTTTGGATAATCGGCTGTCTCGTTTTTATTTGTTCTATTTTTTTTTTTATTATAAATATTAATTGGTGTTTTAGAACCTATATGTGTTTAAAAGTTGATACAATTGTCACAGATATGGTACTTTTCCATTATCTGCAAAAATATCCTTGCACTCGCGAAGTAATAGTAACCATAGACATTTTATTATTAAAAAATTTTAGTCCATTATATGGCAAAATTACATTTTATTCTTTTATTATGATAGCGGTCAAGGGTGCGTTAAAATGTCGCATAATATCATGTCACAAAAATTCACGTAACCCACCACTTTTCCGACTTTGTTGTAAACGCGATGGGCTAAACATGGGATTCTTCTCATCATCGCTTCATTATGGGCCTGTGTGATTGTATTAACCGTATTAAATATTATCTCTCTTCCACTTGATACCATCGTCACTTAGCCTTACATTGGTTAAGAAAGTTATTAAATTTCGCCACGAAGAAACACATAATGAAACTACTATGTTACGAGCCGACGGAAAGACTCGCTCCGTGTTTGATACAAGTAATAAAGCAACCAGCAGTTTTGACATCACTACGTCTCGAGTGTATCATAAATTTTTTCTATGGAATTATCTTTCATCATTAGAAGAAAGCAACTTGATAACTGAGGTTTCCGTGTCCCAGAATAAATACCGGAGAATATCTCAAGAAAAAAAGAAAGCAAAGATGCCGCTATCAAGACAAACTAAGGCACTTCTTACAGTATTTGTTGCTATAATCACAAAGACTGCAATTTCTCAAAAAGAGACTGATAGAAATTGGAATGTTGCTAATTAATAATAGAGAAAAATGAAGAATATGCAGAGCACTATGAATACCACCCAAAGACTAATAACTTTTGAATGTATATTTTTCTTATTAAATAATGTAGTAGTTAAGTCTCACTTTTGCATCAATCTGATCAGCATTCAATCAATTGCTTAAATACTGTTGAGGCACAGTTACGGTTGGTATATTATTTGCGTAGGTTACCAAGCTTATTACCGTCCTTACTTCGGTAGCTGTACCAATTAAGACTGAACTATGCTCCGAATGACCTATTAAATTTTATTCGCGCTTAACCACTCCCTATACAATGTATTTCTACTCATATACACCAACGCTTATCAAACAACAACAATTTGTTTCAGGGCAGGATTTAGTATTTTGACTAGTCGATATCCCTATGATTTAACTTAATCATTTTACAATAAGAAGGTATGAACCTAGGTTATGTCGATAGATTGGCGCTTTCCGCTATTTGCATAATTGCGTACCAATATCTGAACGTTTCCGTTCTAGTCGATAGTCCGTATTGTATCAACGCTAGACACTTTTAGAAAACGAAAGTGAATTGATTTCAAAAAGCTTTTTAATACCAACTATCTAACAAATATCAATTGAGATTAATTCGAACGATGGAATTCGACCCGTATTTACATCTTTTTCGTGGAGATAATTCTCTGCGCATTTCCATCTTGCTCGTTTTTGGGGCAGCATCTAATTAGGACTAAGAAAAGACGCAGTAAGGTGCGGTGTAACTAATCGATCAGATAGATTTTATCATGTGACTTACCGATCTGAACATCAGATAGTAGCACTCGCCGTAATGGCAAATAGTCTAGTAGCTAGCAAAGAAACAAATGACCTCTACTATCTCTGAGAGTGAATCAGACAGAATAAAAAGACATGTAGAAGCAGTTGAACAAGGACATGCCAATGCACAATTTAATCTTGGTAATTATTATCGTCTTGGAACTGGAGTAGAAAAGGATGAACAAAAGGCAGTTGGATGGTATCAAAAAGTAGCTGAACAAGGAGATTCTAGAGCACAAACTAATCTTGGGTGGTGTTATGAGAATGGAGCTGGAGTAGAAAAGGATGAACAAAAGGCAGTTGAATGGTATCAAAAAGCAGTTAAACAAGGAGATGCTGATGCACAGTTTAATCTTGGTAATTGTTATCGCCTTGGAACTGGAGTAGAAAAGGATGAACAAAAAGCAGCTGAGTGGTATCAAAAAGCAGCTGAACAAGGAGATACTGGTGCACAAAATAATCTTGGTAGTTACTATCAAAACAGTCTTAGATCAAAAATAAGTTATCAAAAAGCTTTTGAATTATTTCATAAAGCTGCTGAGAATGGAGATTCCTATGGACAATATAACCTTGGTCAGCATTATGAGAAGGGGTATGGAGTGAACAAAGATCTTAAAAAAGCAATTGAACTGTATCAAAAAGCAGCCAGTCAAGGAAATGTCTTTGCACAAACTCATCTTGGTATATGTTACAAAAATGGAATTGGAGTAGAAGAAAATGTTCAAAAAGCTATTGAATTGTTCCAAAAAGTAGCTGAACAGGGACATGCATATGGACAATATAATCTTGGTTACTGTTATGAAAATGGAATTGGAGTAGAAGAAAATGAATGCAAGGCAATTGAGCTATATCAAAAGGCAGCTGAACAAGGATATATTAAGGCCCAAAACAAGATTTATATTTTACAATATGATGATAAATCTAAGTTAAAAAGAAAAGTTCAAGAATTAAACAAAGTGTATTCAAGCGAAAGGAAAAAACAAAAAGAAAAACTTTGAGTGGCTGATAAATTAATTATATGCACTAATATTAAGAGCTTTCTAACTTATTATAAATAACAAGAGATTAACAGTTAGTAATAATTATCAATAATAACCTGTAAAGTATTAGTGTTAATCTCCGGTTCAGTGAATTCTAATAATTATGAACGCTCTCAACTATTAATCGAGGGAGGCAACTGTCGAATAACGTGGGTTATTACTTAGACGGAATGTTATCCATACTCAGAGGTTGAGTTACTTCTTCGATGTGTGATAAGTAACCACTAAATCGACTGGTATATTTTATCCAACCATCGGCACGTAGCCTTCATATTGGTTAAGAATGTTCGCCACGAAGGAACACACAGTGAAACCATTGTTACGAGCCGACAGAAAGACTCGGCCCGTTTTGATACAATAATAATAATAGCGCAACATCTTTAACTCTTGTTCTTAGCGAACGTACTCGCTTTTGCTTTAATATTCAAACATGATCTTTCTCAACGAACGGTAATTGTTCCATCGAGCTAATATAAATACACGTACGTGTTATAAACCTTTATTTAATTAAAGCTTTCTTTATCGTAGCGGAAATCTAACAATAGAACCAGCTTCCATATCGCTGTTTTTATAAACGATAAGCTCCTTCTTCACGATAATCGCTTTAGGAGACTTTTAGAACGACATGCATTTATTATCCTTTCGTTCGAATAAACCCCAAAGTTCGACATTTCGTTGTGCATTAATTCGTATATCATTAATCATTGAATTATCATGGTCAGTTAACAATAAATTAGTTGGTTTTTATTGGAGAACAGAGTTAGAAAACTCGAGACATGAACAGTCTGTTCTGATAATTGACCCGCGCTATCTATAGTATCGAAAATTCTAAACATCTTTGGGTTATAGTTAAATATCGCTGAAAAACAAATCCCGTGCACGTTCCATTCAGAATGCTGATCACTTTAAAATAATATAAGCTGTGATAGTAATGCAAACCTGATTTATAAGGGTCGGAGTACTTTTTTTTGATGCACCGAAAAAGACAACACGAACCAACAAACTATACAACTTCAGTGCAGGATACACTATAAATGTGGATAAACTTTCGTCTCCTAAGTCGCCATGTCCTGGTGAATTACCACCATTGATTAGTTTGTGTTATAGTTTATATTTTTCTCTAATATTTGTTGATAGATATGTCGTATAAATGCCGACCACGTATAATGCCTTGTGCAACATCTATATGCTATTCAGCCAATAATAATAAATCAATTTTATAGTGTCAGTTCGTGTTGCCTTTTTTAGCATGCAGATACATCGAATAAATATTCCCGATCGTTATAAATCAGTTAGAAACCTTATATTTATATTGTTTTCTTGACAACAAGTGATAGCATTCTGAATGGAACGTGCAAGTGATTCAAAGATTAAATCTAACTATCCCATCACAAGGATGTCCAGGAACATTGTACAAAAATAAGCCAACCAGATGTCAAAGAGGTATTTGAATATATGCAGGCAATATTTTGGCATAGATATGTAATATTGTTAACCGAATGTGAAGCAAAGTCATCGCTCATCAACAGTAATATTGTATGTATATTATGCCATTCATTATAACCAAGAGAGGGTTTCGTACAATACGGATAATTGCTTTTAAGATTTTAATTAATTTTAAAAAATTCCAAAATTAATTTTGGTAACGGATTTATTTACGTCATGTTAATACAAGGAAATAGAACAATCTCTTTATGCAGAGAGCTCTCTTGCAATGGCTAATAATTGAAAGTAATTCGGGTGTTATTAGTTATTATAACAATCATAAATTATTATACAAATCGTGCAATAAATGTCCATACCTTCAGCCTTCTTCCTGGCATCATCAATATCACCAACCATATAGAAAGCGTTATCTGGCAGATCATCGCACTTGCCATCCAAAATTTCTTTGAACGATCGAATGGTATCCTTTAATGAGACGAGTTTTCCTTCAAAACCAGTGAAGACATGAGCTACTTGGAAGGGTTGACTCAAGAAACGCTGGATCTTTCTCGCTCGCTCGACAACTTTCTTGTCCTCTTCTGACAGTTCGTCCATACCCAGAATAGCAATAATGTCTTGAAGAGATTTGTAGTCTTGGAGAATCTTCTGTACTTTGGTAGCTATTTCATAATGTTCTTCACCCACAATACGTGGATCTAATAAACGTGATTTAGAATCAAGAGGGTCGACCGCGGGATAGATACCCAATTCAGCGATAGGACGAGACAAGACAGTTGTAGCGTCAAGATGGGCAAAGGTCGTAGCGGGAGCCGGATCTGTCAAATCATCAGCAGGTACGTATACAGCTTGTACAGATGTAATAGATCCCTTCTTTGTAGTAGTAATCCTCTCTTGCATACTACCCATATCAGTAGCTAAGCTATATTATGGTTACACGAGAGGTTGTATGAGATAATACAGCAGTATTAAAATCAAAACGAAAGATACCAAATGAAACAATGATTGCCAAAACCAAAGAAACTTACGTCGGTTGGTAACCTACGGCCGAAGGAATACGCCCCAACAAGGCGGACACTTCCGAACCAGCTTGTGTGAAGCGGAAGATGTTATCGATAAACAGTAATACATCTTGGCCTTCCTCATCACGGAAATACTCAGCAATTGTCAATCCAGTCAAAGCAACACGAGCACGAGCACCTGGTGGCTCATTCATTTGTCCGAACACGAGCGCAGCTTTTGACTCGCCATCGAGTTTAATGACACCAGTTTCTATCATTTCATGATACAAATCATTACCTTCGCGTGTTCGCTCGCCAACACCAGTAAACACAGAGTAACCACCATGTGCCTTGGCAACGTTATTAATAAGTTCTTGAATCAATACTGTTTTACCAACACCGGCACCACCGAAAAGACCAATTTTACCACCTCGGGCATAAGGGGCTAGTAAATCTACGACTTTAATACCAGTTTCCAAAACTTCAGGCGTAGTCGACTGATCCACAAACTCTGGGGGGTCAGTATGAATGGCAGCCTTTTTTTTTGTGTTTACTGGTCCACGCTCATCTATCGGTTCGCCGATGACATTGAGAATACGACCTAAGCATTCTGGACCAACTGGAATGCTGATGGGGCTCCCAGTATCGAGAACTTTCTGGCCACGAACCAATCCTTCCGTACCTGCATAAATAATTGGCATTGAATACGAGCTAATTATGGGCTCAATTTAATGAAATTGATTTATCAAAGGTAAGGTCTACGAATAATTGAAAACTTGCCATCCATAGCAATGGTACGAACGGTATTCTCGCCCAAGTGCTGAGCCACTTCCAATACAAGACGACCACCTTTGTGGTCAAGCACTTCTAAAGAATTTAATATAGGAGGCAAGGTATCCTGATTAAACTGAACATCAACGACAGCACCAATCACCGAACGAATGTGCCCAGTGGCCTGCTTTGGTTCTGCTACATAATTGCGAAACTGCAAAGCACTAGACCTCGCAAAGAAGGCAGTGCTTGCCCTAGCGGCGCTTGCAGTTCGTCGCGAAAAGCGAGCGAAACCTCGTGCGGTGAACATGACGGCTTTTTTCTCCCCGTCTGTCTATAGGAAATTGAGAGAAAAAATTTTGGGGTGGAACGCGATGCTACTTGATGAAACCATAGCGGGGGTCAAATGCCAGATTTGGAAATCTGCAACATTGGGGCTATGTAATGCTGGAAATTTAAATCGTAATTCTATGGGGCGAGCTTGACAGATTACGGATTATAATGATGATACTAATACTGGTATGGGCGAGATGCAGAGATGTTCTGACGAATAACGATGAATTGTGTTATTTATACAACAATACTAACGGCATTCATAAAAATCGAACACTCGCATTTTTTTATGCTTATCTATATAAGGAAAGTTGTGGTACAGTCTATTAAATTTTTGATTTATGTGCATGCTATAACAGGAATATTTCGAGATTATCATCAAAAGCCGCAAGTGTTCATCGACCTGCCAAACATGAACCTTTGTCTCCTCAACTACAGACGTTAACGCATCGACAATACTTGGTAGTAGACGATTAAAAAATTCTTGTCAGCGTTCAAAAAAAAGCAGGATTTAAATTATGTGTTGCATGTTGGAAATGTGATGGAGATTAGATTACTATTATGGCGTAACCATATTATTTCATTTCACCGACAGTACGTTTCACCGACAATTAACTACAAAAAAGGATAACTTCGAAATAACGTTGGTGAAATGATTGTCGATGAAATGATTGCCTCCATAGCCTCTTAATAGTTAATAGGATTAATACGTTCTTGCTGACGATATTTAGGTTACAATAAATTGGCCCAAAATTTTTTACTCTAATACAGTATTAAGAAAATCTGTAATTTGTTAGTATATGTTGCATTCCGACTTCCATAAGTGAAATTAGGTTATCGATTCTTGGTACTAATTAATAAAGTCTCCGTCCGTCGTAGTGTTTTCGCTGTTTCTTCTATCCTATCGATAGGTATGCTTATTAATTAAGATTCGCGACTTGTTTCAAATTCGAAATGTTCGCATCTGACATTCGTGGGACATTCCTAATGGCAGACTCGTAGCCGACCCTTGTCAGATTCTTTTCCTGATGACAGGCCCGATGTTGCGGCGTAATTCCATCACAATTGCATCATATTTCATACAATTGGCAAATTCTTTTCCTTTTAATTGACTATTTATCCAAACTCAATAGTAGCTGCTCTACTTATTTGACATCTTGTGTTGGATAGATACTTCAAACTACTTTGCACCTCTTTTATTGTCTCCGAGTATAGCTCTGGATTTGTGTTAAAGTAAGTCTCAATTTATCATGGAGACGTAGTATTTTGTATCTGATTACGTTTAAAATGAATAGGACTTTATATCAGAATAAGATTGTCAGGTAAAAAGGCATGCATACGTTTTCCTTTGCCCTTGCTTTAAAAAGAGGATGTATTGATTAAAGTCATAATCGGACATGAAAAGGTTAGTCTCGTGGGAGTGACGATAATGTTAACCAGACTTGTTCTCTTTTCGGAAACAATTATGATAGTACACTATACAAAGTGTATTTAAAAATTTCACAAACTGATTGCGACACGCGTACTTATATGTATGTAGCCATCTACGCCGGATCGCTTTATACTACAAACGCTCTCCTTTTCAAAGCGCGCACATATTATAAACACACACAAACATTTTTTGGACGTAACATTACAAAACGCATATTATATTTGCAATTTATTCCTGCGTCTCAATGATAGAATACTCTCTATTGACAAACGTACAAGAGGTGAACATCATTAGCCGTGGATGAATACAAAAGTGATACTCAAACAGATAGTTGACGTTCAGTCTTTTGGCAAGCCTTGGCTATCCTCCACGATACGACAAAGCTTCTGGCGAGTCCACGATTGAGTCTCACGACGTGCCATTATTAAAAGAAGCCCAACTTTACGTACAAGCACCGCACAAAAGACTCCCCGCTTCTATGTATTGTACACGAGTCAAGGGGATATTATTGCAGATGTTTTGATAGACATAAAACAGTCCCTCTTTATTATGATATCTCATTTATTATTATACTACTTAGGGTTTATACCTCCCCCCAACTACAAGAAGCCCGTCCAAATGGCTTCTCGGCAAACGAGTAGTGGTTGATTTGGGGAGCATAGGTTATGATTTGTTTTAGTAAAATGTTTTATAAGTACAGTATTAGTATGTGGCGTGTACAATGAAAAGTGGTTGTACGAGTAAACGCTTGTCAGAAAAGGGAATGAAAAATTGTGACTTGCAGTGATACACGTGCTGGATAAATAGATAATTAAATAATTACAAGAACCTGTGTGACACTCGTTTTAGACAACTATGAGCATCTTGAAAGGTGCCTTAGAGAGACTACTAATAGAGGCACATTCACATAAACAAAAAGAGTTACAAGTTGTTTGTACTCAGGCTTTAGATAAGCTTAACCAAGAAATAGAAGCACTTGTACAAGCAGACAAAGCGAGCGACGATGCAGTCCCAAACATAATACAATCCACATCCAAACAAGCAGGCGAGAGTGCAGCCAATCTAAACACAGTAAATGGTGATGTTGATAAATCGGAAACTGAGGCCAGGAATGCATCCCCAACTCAGCCAGCGAAGGAAGCCGACGACATATCTATAGCCTCGACTAGAAATTCCATATCTGGGGTATCGATAATAGGACGTCCAGGCGAAGACTTGCCTAAAATACCCATGGATAACTATTGGAAGCCATTCCGTATAGCATGTGACAGTTCTATACCCGCACCAATCCGCGTAATTGCCCTAGATGCCTTACAAAAAATAATAGCCCATGGTTTACTCAAGGGCTCGACTATAATCACTCCTCCAAAGAATGCGCATTTTCGAAGGGAGCGAACGGGCGATCTTGGGAAATTGCCTAATTTTAGTGAATCCAACGATCTCTCACATCTTGACAGCAATTCCCTATTTGATGGCGACACTACTACGCCCGAAGGCGTTGCTCCTGCTAATTATAGTAATTATCCGAATCCAGCACGATTGATCGATGACATTGTTCATACGATATGTATTGGGTTCAATGGCCAGCAGACAGACCAGACAGTTACTTTACAGATACTTAAAGTACTCCTTACGTTTGTTACTTCAGACACTTGTCAAGTGCATGGTATCAGCTTATTAAAGGTTATTCAGACTTGCTGCAACATATATTGTTTTACAAAGAATGCAATTCTCCAGGCCACAGCAAAGGCAGAATTAACACAAATGGCTAATTTGATTGTGACTAGATGCGAGGAGTATGCAGTACAATTGGAAAATTATGAAACATCCAAGAGGGCTATGAAGAATAATAATGAATCAAATGGGGAAGAAATTTCGAAACCGAATTCAGTTGAGGTTGAGAATGCGACAAGTAAACAAGAAACACCGCAGGCATATACCGTTGCCGAAAGTGATTCAAAGCCTGTGGAATCTAATAAAAATGAAGATGCAATCAATCATAAGGAGGAGGTTTCAAATGGTAGTGTTGTTGAGTGGGCAGATGCAATAGAGTCACCAACAGGGAATGTGGTAGACTCTTCCATCAAGGAGAAGAGAGTATCAATTGAAGCTGACGAAGCGCCTGAACCAGAACAAGCGAACGAACCTAGTATTTCGCAAAGTGGCAGTTCGGGAGTATCGGTCACTAGCCCCAATGTTGATCAAGAAGAACCAACGGAAAGCACAGAGATCAATATTGATGATTCAGAATTAGCTAATTTACCTGAAAATAAAGGATCCAATTTCACCGTGGACGAAATGCCTGCTGAACCACTGACAACGCCTGAAACGGCTCCGGATCAAGCCTCAGCCCCAAACCAAAACGCTATTTTAGAAGACGATCAACCAAATACAAAAGTATTGCCGATTGAAGCCAAATTGCTACAACGAAATCGCCCCCGTAAATCCTCCTTGTCACCCAAAGTAGACCTGAAGATAATCGTCCCGCCCCTCACAGCAACAGTACGCAGAAAACCGGCACAAGACAAACCATCGCATCCTACTCGCGGTAGATTTAATACGCTAAGAAAAGATCTCTACTTAGTATTTCGGTTTTTTTGTAGACTGTCTATGCGTACAGACACTGGTGGTAATATACAAATTGAGGAAATTAGTATCCGAGGACGTGCCCTCGTCTTGGAGCTTATTCTTTCGATATTGGATAATTCAGGCCCTGTATTACAGACTGAGGATGCATATATCTCCCTTATTCGTCAGGCATTATGCGTTTCATTATCGCAAAACGGCGTATCGTCTAATGAACAGTTGTTCGAACTCTCGCTTTCCATCTTTTTAATGCTCTTTCGACTCTATCGAGCGCCACTTAAAAAAGAACTGGAAGTATTATTCGCTGAAATCTATCTGCGATTTCTTGATATGTCTAATGCGACGTATAAACAGAAACAGATGGTTTTGCAGGGTTTAATGAAAATATGTTCTAATCCTCAATCATTGGTTGACGTGTACTTGAATTATGATTGCGATTTATCAATGACCAGCGTATTTGAAAAGACAGTGAATACACTAAGTCGAGTTGCGCAGGGAAGATCGAAGAATGTAAGTGGATCAGCTATGGGAAGTATAATTGGCGCTCATGCTTCTGGACTATTGTTAGATAATAAAGCTGATTTGATTGCATTACAAGAAAAGAAACTTAAAGTGCGTGGTTTGAAATGTTTAGTAACTATAGTGAGATCGCTGGTTGAATGGTGTAAGGATTTGGATTCTAAAGAAACCGGAATTAGTCAGTCAGAGAAGGCAAAACCACCGGAAACTACTGAGGACAAAACTACCATTATTTTCTCAAAGCATCCTCTTCTCAATATATCCATGAAGGAATTCTCAACAGCTCATGGCAATAACAGTAGTACTAGTATTGGGTTATCTGATTCAGAGGATCATCCTGCTCAATATCAAGAGATAATGACGCGTAAACAAACTCTACAAGCTGGTATTAGACTGTTCAATTCGAAACCACTGAAGGGAATAGAATTCTTCATTAATAACGACTTTCTCAAGAATGATACCCAGAGCATAGTATCATTCCTTACTTCTACTCCGGGACTCAGTAAGGCAGCAATTGGGGAATATCTTGGCGAAAGCGATCCTGAGGCTATAAAGATAATGTATGCATTTGTGGATTCATTAGACTTTAAAAGTCTCCAATTTGTAGATGCATTGCGTACATTTCTTCAAACTTTTCGCTTACCAGGCGAATCGCAAAAGATTGACCGCATTATGGAAAAGTTTGCGGATAGATATTGCGAAAATAATCCTGACGTATTTGCAAACGCCGATACTGCTTATATACTAGCATATTCGATAATAATGTTGAATACAGACCAGCACTCTATTCAAGTAAAGCGGAGAATGGAAAAGTCCGAATTCATAAAGAATAATAGAGGAATCAATGATAATAATGATCTGCCGGATAGATATCTAGGGGCTATTTTTGATGACATATCCGTTAATGAGATTGTTATGGAAGAAGAGCAAATATCGGAAGTGGCAAAAACTGCGATTAACATAGCCAATGAGAGAGAAAGACAGCAAATGTATGATAAGGAAATATCACAAATGCAAAAGAAGAGTCAGGCATTGCTTTCTAGTAGCAGGCAAGATCAGAAGACCTCAATATGGCGGAGTGCTACTCACTCGGATCACGTTAAGCCTATGTTTGTTATTGCATGTTGGCCATTGATGGCTACTCTTAGCGTTGTATTTGAGGAGTCTGAAAACATATCAACAGCAGCTAGTAAAGGAAATGAATTTGCACAAGCTAATTCAGAGGCTATCGAATTATGTTTGGATGGATTTATGGGCGCCATACGTATCAGCAGTGTATTTCGTATGGATGTCGAGAGAGATGCATTTGTGTCTTCACTCGCTAAATTGACTGGACTTAATCATGTAGATGAGATGAGGTCCAAGAATGTGGCTGCAATCCGTACTCTGTTATCCGCTGCAAACGCATATGGTGAAGGTCTGCAGACGTCTTGGTTGATTGTATTAAAGACCATATCTGCGATGGAGAGATATCAGCTCATAAACAGCTCAGGTTCGGTGGTATACAGTGCAGAGGACGCAAGCGGGCTAGATTACTCGCCACAGAATAATCGTAATTCTCTTAATCAGTCAACAACGGGTGTGGTTAATAATCACTCTAGTACATCCGCTGCCGTTCGTAATCTCACGCGACGCGGTTCGTTGGGAGGTCTCATGAGGGAGTTCCAATCACAGAGTACAATTATAGCAATTGACAGGATATTCACCAACAGCATTAAACTAAGTAGTGATGCTATTGTACACTTTGTTAATGCTCTTTGTACTGTGTCGCTCGAAGAGGTTGACATATCAAGGACTGTTCCAAGAATGTATAGCTTACAGAGGATAGTAGAAATAGCGTATTATAACATGTCACGTATACGATTCGAGTGGACTCAGATATGGAAAATATTACAGCCTCATTTCAATACTGTTGGATGCCATCCAAATAATATCGTTGCTACGTTCGCCATAGATTCACTTCGACAACTGAGCATGAAATTTCTCGAAAGAGACGAGCTATCTCATTACAACACTCAGAGCGAATTCATGAAACCATTTGAGCATATCATAAGAAACAATTCATCCCCGGCAATACGAGAGTTAATCATCCACTCACTTATACAAATGATCTCAGCAAGAGCGAAGAATATCAAGTCAGGATGGAAGAGCATATTTATAGTTTTTGGTCGTGCCGCCGGTGACGAAAACCCGCAGCTGGTCGATAATGCATTTGGCACAGTTAGATTAGTGTATCAGAAACATTTGGATTTGATTGGGCTATCATTTGGGGAATTTGTCAATTGCCTGGTTGAATTTGCGTTTAATGCTAAAGTGGAAGAGATAATAAACGAATCCATTAGAATGATGCAAGGATGTGTCAAATTATTAGTAAAAGATATAGAAGAAGGCGACAAGAAGAATCAGAATATATCACCTACATTCGCGCCAACGTCACCTACAACCTCACCAGTAACTAAGAAGAGACTCCAGCACATAGAAGAAGAACAATTCTTCTTTAAATGGTTCCCTATAGTGTCCGGTCTATCCAGACTAGTCATTGATCATGATTCTCAGGTCGTAAGAACAAAGGCACTTGAGGCACTATTCGACATTTTAAGAAACACTGGCTATCTGTTTGAAACTTCGTATTGGAGTAAAATACTAAAAAATGTCATCATTCCTGTATTCGAAGATATCAAAGAACCAGCACAATTACAATTACCCACAACGGGCGATTTTCAGCGTAGAGAAGCGACCACCGAAATATGGATACAAACAATACGCCTAATGGTAGATTTGTATACACGTTTTCATGACCTATTCAAAGATAATTCTGAATATCTACTTGAGCTGTTAGAGCTATTCGTAGCTCTACTCAAAAGGAAAAACGAGAAATTGGGACAAACCGGAATACGGTGTTTCCATAACTTGATAGCTAGAAATGGTTCACGATTCGATAGTTCGACTTGGGGGGCAGTGACGGATACTCTAGAGAAGATTTTCATAGCAACCACACCAAAGGAATTGCTCGAAGTTGAAATAGCGGGTGTCAATGAGAATACGGACGTGAAACACGCTGGTCATGTAATCGTGGGAGCATCTAATCCAGTACCGGATGATATAACAGACACTGGAGCAGGCGTCGGTGAAAATAGCCGCCGCAACCAGCATAATCCGCCCGCAACTCCCGGGAAGGTGGACGTTGACTTTCCAAACGCTATCATCAAGTGTGCAGCTCAACTCATTATTATTCAATCAGTGAAAGACTTGGCGTTAACACATACAGTAGCGTCATTGAGTAAGGATGAAGTGCATTACCTAGCCCAGATGCCAGCCGAATATCGGAATCGATGGTTAAGATGTCTATATAATTCATATCAGTTTGCTCACGACTTTAATGCCAACCACGAACTGCGTCATGCTCTATTCAAGTCAGGTTATGTACAGCAAATGCCGAATCTAACGAAACAGGAAACTCTGTCTCTTTCAGTTTTCCTATCTATTCTCTATGATTTGTATCGTACGCTTGGCGACAATGACCCCGATCTGCTTCCTCCACTAATCGAAGAATCAACCAAAGTTTTTGAACGATTCATAGCGCTATTGTCGGCTGACACTATGCAGAACCAACAGCGCGATATTAATAATTGGTCCCCATTGGTTATTACAGTATTCCGTGAACTATGTGCCACACCGTGGGAGGAATCCCGTGGAGTAGTGCGTGATGAATTTGGAGAGATACAAGAGAGAAGCGGAGAGGACGAAGATATGGAAAAGTTTGAAGAAGCGAGGAGAAGAGCGACTAGGTGGATTGGGTTGAGGAAGCATGTGCCTGAATTCTATAGATTGAGCTTGAAAATGATTGGCGTAGATAGGGCTGACGTTAGAGAGTACATGCAAGAATTTCTAGAGAAAATAGGAAATGAGTTTTTAAATCCAGATCGGTGGGACGTATAGAAATAGAGCGGAGATGGTTGACATAATATCTAAACGTTTTTAATCAATAATAGAAATTTTGTGATGCTATTGCGCTGTAGATTAATAGTATTTATTTACGGTGACACTGCTTTAAAATTAATACGATATCATGACTAATAATTCAACATTGTCTAATGCGACCAAATACGATTTTACTTATTCTTTATAACTACTCACTTGCTCACTCGCTACTCACACTTTCTCCATGTATTTTGTCTCCACTGTAAACTCGTAATTGACAATCTTCTCCTCCACTGACTATGATGCCATTATTCCAATCTACACAGAATAACTTCTTGCTATTATCCCTCTGACTGAGTGTATATAATGGAGTCTTACTTCTTATGTCCCATATTTTCAATGTACCGTCGTACGACGCAGATGCTAGTATGTATGCTGAGACGGGTGACCATGTGAGTGACGATACCCAATTTTGGTGTGACGATAGGGTAATCTTTGTTAGATTTACGTCTGTAAAATTAAAGAGGAACTGGTATTAGCGCCTTCTATGGAATGTAGATAATGAGACATAGTTTATAGTAACAAAGTAATTGACATTTGCTGCATCTTGTGAACTGTATAATCATTTATTACTCGCGTGAATCGAAATTCTTCAAAAGTAATCACTTGCCTTGTGACCTGAAATCCCATAATCTAATTGATTTGTCGCTGTGGCCCGTAGCGACTAGTTTTGATTTACCGGAATATGCTATGCATAGAATGACTTTATCCGAGTTCTAAATAGACAGTATCGCGATCAGACATTGATTCACAATTGAGCCAATCACCAAATTTTTTACTCACTTTGGTATCCACATTAACTCGTGATTCAACGTCCCACATTCTTACAGAATGATCCCATCCACCACTGTATAGTCTATTAGACCCATATTCATCATCATATACGATTGCCTGTACTGGACCTGTATGTCCGAGCAGAGTTGCTTCTGGTTTCTAAAGGTATATATGCCTTAGTGGATATGACATATGACGTGGGTTACATTAACTGCGGTAATAATCATTACGATTACTCACTTTGACATAGATTTCAGGTTTCTCCCTTGATATGTGACTGGTTTCGGGTGTTACTAACTCGTCCTCATCTGGCGGAAGTGTATTCCACAGGTTTATTGTTGAATCTGCTGATGCTGATGCAACCTACGGGAAGGCCGATATTAAAATAAATTCCACTGATATTAGACAATATAGCGCGTACATACCTGATTACCATGCGCATCGAATCTAACACATTCCACGCTACCTTTATGTCCTCTACATTCATACATCAGTCCGCATCTATCATTATAATCCTCTTCTAATATCTATGATACACGTAATAAATCGCGCGACATTTAGCAAGTAGCTGCCGTAGGAATCCATCTAGTACTCCAAACACTCACCGACCATGCGCGAACTGTCCGATCCTGTGACGCAGACACACAGATAGTGCGTTCGCCTTGTACACAATACAAGTCGATACTCTTTACTGGTGCATCATGTCCGCTGAACGTCTGTTTGCATTCACCAGATGTGTTCCATATTCTGATCTTATTATCATATGAGCCAGTGACTATCATGCTAGTATATAGTGTTGATGTTGACAACAATGGTCATGCGAAGATATAATAGATCCATTATTATTAGAGACAAGAATCATACTGCTCCTGCTAGTAGTAATTTATCTACAATTAGCACCAACCTCTGCTCGATTTTAACCGAACTTATCCAGTCATCGTGTTGAAATGCAGACAGCTCTCGTGGTGGAAGGATCGATTCTACATACTCGAGAGTAAGAGTTGTTTCCTACAAAGCATTTGCACGTAATGTTATTAATTCGTTCTTATGACTGCATACGAAGGAGAAACGCGTCCATACAACACATAGTTTGAGGCAACCAAAAGTATATAATGCAACCAAAAGTGTTTACACATATAATAGATCACATTCAATGTTTGATGCCACCCTCATTTACATCATACCGTCGATAGCCCAGCAATTTTTAGATACTCGTCAAGGCTAGATCTCAGAAATTCGCCATTTATCATAAAATCAAACGGAATTGGCTTTTCTGTAATAAAGTCTATGAGTACAATACACGCTAGATATATCTGATGGAATGTCTTAATGATTTGATTACCTGTACCCAACAAATGATTAATGATTTCCGATAATCCATAACGACGTAAGTTTGTAGGAACGAGTATCGCAGAATCTGTCACTATATATTGCCTCTGGTTTGTTGTAAATCGAACTTGTATTTGAGGGAGAACTTGCGTCATATTAAACAATACGAATATTACATGTTCATTGAATATTTGGTATGCAATTTTTTTCCGATCTGCAGATCGGCACGGGACTGTAAGAGCGCGTTGGTCACATAAATTCATTTTGCACTACAAGCCAAGTGCTAAAACCAAGGCAATTTTTATTATTAGCTAAATACTTTCTATACAAGTAAATAAACTGAAGATTAAGATCTTTTGCGTGCAGTGAAAGGCGAATTACGCCATCAATGATGTTTTCTATGATTTAGTATCTTAGTACATAACAATACGATTTCTTATCTTTGGAAGATTTTCGGATCATTAGGAAAAGTCACCTTTTTCGGGATACGCACTGCAGCTGGTCGCGTTCGTTATACAGCATATATCGGAAAAAATGGTTCAAAGAGGAATAATGGGTGATCAACTGTTTTTGTTAGATTCGAGGATATTGCGCTCACTTCGAGTATAAGCCAATGTAGACATCACTTTGACGGAAATAGCTAAAAGAAAGTTTTTCTGTAGACATCTGATGTAGAGCCTGCCTTGGAGTGGAAGCATGATATCTGTAAAATTTCTAATTGTGCTGAGCTTTTAGTAAAGATTTGCTAAAATGAACCGTTTAGCATGCCAGAGTGTTATTTTTTCCGGTTACATGTAGATAGCGCCTTGTTGTGAATTGGGGAAACGTATTAATTTAAGCGTGCTTTAATCGTAATTTGTTATCCATGAGTATGATCTGGCCGATATGTTCACGATCTTGTATCGTGTCAAAGTAACGTAATCTGATATGGTATTAAGAACGTGAGACAAGAAGGCTAGAGATGAATATGTAAAAGGTCTTTCCGATTGATAAATGCACTTCAGCTCTACAAATTTATGTTTGATCAAGTATCCTCTTTTCACTGAGCTTGTATGAGGAAACACATCATGGAAGGGGGAGAGTTGATGCTAAGCGTAAAGGTTTATTTCTTTTTAACAGCCGGCCTGTCGATTTTCTCTTTGCTAGGCCAGACCCTCTTCCAAAGTGTAATTCTCCCTGGGATAGTGGTAGTAGTTGCATGGGCCTGCGGCTTAGTTTCTGGTCGAACAGGCCATTTCCCAGCTAGTTTTGCCTTCAATTCGTTTCTCAGACGGACACCAAACATTCCTAATTCTTTATCTTTGGTATTCAAAAGATATTGATCTAGTCCTCCCTTCTTGTCAATTGTTCTCAAGGCTGCAGTTGTAACTCTCATTTTGAAAAAGGTTCCAAAGGCCTCTGAATAAACTCGAGCTTTCTGGACATTAGGTAACCATCGACGTCGAGTCTTGTTATCGTTTTCTGAAACTCTGTTTCCGTAGTGTATACGCTTTCCGCCGAACAAGCCTCGTTGGGCACGCTTGAACGAATTCGGAAAAACCTCTTTTTGTGCCAGAAGCAGCTGTGTAGTTCGCATATTTCCCTATAATCCGAACAAGTTTTTCTATCAACTACCTCTTCGATGAAATGCGTTAGTCTGATATTTATCACGCACCTGTCTCGGACTATGTTATCAGCGATGTAATAGGTAGATCTGAGTCCAATTGTAAATTATACAATCGTTATAGCTTCACGTGTGAAATAACTGACTGTCGCTGCATAATCATTGTTTTACCGTTTAAGGAATTCTGAAAGAGCAATAATGCGTTCCTTTTTTTTGAATGCAATAGGCACATTGTCTAATGTCACAACCAACTTGTTTATGTGATAATAGCGAAATAAAATGTGCTTATTTCGAACCGATTTCGCTACGGGCCAGAACATCTATATTATTAATTAGCAACATGGCAACAATAACTGCCTTAGTTTGTCTTGATAGTGGCATTTTTACTTTTATTTTAGTGTTTTTTTTTTTCTTGGGATATTCTCCGGTATTTATTCTGGGACACGGAAACCTTTATTCTTATGCTCGCCTTCTTAGAGACGTTCTTAGGTACGTTCTTGGGTACGTTCTTAGAGACGACGGAGAGACGAATCCCAGGTTTAGCGTCAGTCCTCTTGGGCTATTGCAAAATATAATATAATTATTAGCAGATGAAGTCATAAATAACGCGAGTCATAAAAACTGTTGTCCAAATGACAAATCACAATCTGCACGGTGCACACTCTAACTTACCAGTCCCCAGAAAAAAGGTCCTCCATCAACAACTCCGGCAATTCTTCCCACTAAACGTCGAACATATAGGCAAGGATCATTTCTCACCAGGTGGCGAAGATATTCAAGGCCTACATCTGATTCCAATCCATTCAATTGCACCAAGGCTTCAATGGCAGCCACACGCACATCGACAAAATTTCCATACCTACACGAAGTTTGACGTTAGTATTAGTCAAAAATTCGAACCGTTAATAGGGTATACCTACAGAGTATGTTCGAAGAATTTCTTAATATCTCGTCGAATAACACTGGCTTTCATGAGGTTTGCCTTTGCCTAAAGGGTAATGATAAAGATATTTGGTTACTAATACCACACGTTTTATATGCCAAGTATAGGGGACCCTTACCCGAATACATGCAACAGCGATTATATTACGATAAGATGACCACATATTCCAATCCTTCTGGAGGCATCGCTCGATCTCCGCTAAAGCGGCTGTCAACCAATGGTTTTCATATTCCAAAAATGTCTCTACGTCATGATTCCCAAAAATACCTTGATCAAGTGGTATAAAGGCATTTGCTAAACTTTCGATTAAAGCCGCTACGTAATAATCATCAGCGAACTGCATTCAGGGAAGTTAGTTATAATAGTAGGGTGTTCATGCTATCATGTCGCATAACGATCTACATACTCTTGATCCGTCTGCGATGCTGTTCATCTGTAATATAGTACACAAAAACTTGTGAATGATCTCGGGTGTTTCTCCTTTGTCGTCGCGAATGAGCGATAGTGCCCAGGGTAGTGACTTTACGAAATTGAGTTAGATGGCTCGTTAAGCATAAATAAAGTGGAAAACATATTAATCTATCACCTTCTTTACGAAATACTCTCTCAAGTCATCAAATTGATTGGGCTTTGGTATGAAGCCATGCTCGCCACCAAGTATGCCATGTATACAATAATTCTCTTGGAATGTTCGAATTAACAAGCGGATTGCCAATTGTCGCAATTCTTCTCGATCTTTCTTTTCTCTATCCCGTATGTGAGTACACTATAATAAAGAATATAGAGGTTAATAAGTAATTAAACCGATAATAAGTCACGTGGGTAAACATGTACCTTCGCGATAGCTACTGCAGCCAGTACTCGTACACGATAAAAGTACCTAGGATCCCGCAGCGTTCGCATGAGTGTAGATATGCAAGGTTTTGATGGCGAGGTCTCGAGCATTTTCACAGCCTATAAGTCATTGTAGTTATCAAAAAATTTACAGATAATAGGCAACATATACATATTATTGTGATAGACTACCTCTGCTTGCGCAACGACATCACGATCTTTGACGAGTTGTGTACTCCACATATAGTCCACCTGGTCCACAAAATCAAGGCTACAAATCCACCCCAGATCTTCATCCAGCCGAATCCATTCGAAATATGCACTATTTTTACGATGGCGGTATATTAAAATTAGACAACACTCGTGGAGAGCATATACCGAGTACAAATTTAAATAGCCCTAACCTCGATGCTGTTTCGTCATCTGCTTCATCCCAATCAACGACACCCCACTCTTGTTTCTCTTCTTCGTTCATGGCTAAACCCCAAACGCTAATGCCCTCCTCTTGAGTAGGAGCAGAGTTGGGTGCTTGCTGTTTGAACTTCTTTGTAGTTCGTCGTATACGTTTATATTTCGTATTAAATTTTACCATGTGCTTTTCAGCTTCCGCTTTAATAAAGAGAGTGTGCTCGTATGATTTACCATCTGCTTCATGCACGCAGACGACCATGGGCCCCTAAATCATTATTGTGTAAAAATAATATTCATTGAATTATGCGTCCACAATGCAAATATTCATAATATTACACATATTCCAATGACATTAGCATCTTACAGAGAATACAGGTGTTGGATTATAAGCGCGCGGACTCGGGGAACCATCTGTAACATTCGTATTCACTTGCTTGACATGAAACTCAACCATCATCTTCTTCCTGTTTACTTGATGAGATATTCGAAATTTAGGACATCCACTCCCGTAAATCCACTGCGTGAAAAAACTTTTAACTTCATCACGTCGTTCAGCACGAATAGCCTTCCTGCACATGTCAAGAAGCATCTTAGTGCTCATTGATTTGAACTTTCGAACGCCGTCTTTTGCAGTAAGGATCATGTCAGATACAATTCCCAACATTCCTTGCGGATATCCTCCTCTTATCAGCAGTCGATTCAACATATAAATAATGATTGGTGCTTTCAAAGCCATGAACTCTATCTCGTCCGATACAAGCGGCAATCTTCTATCGAGCCGGAAAAGCGGGTCTCTTTGAACGTCTTCTTCAACACATCTGTCAATATCCTACTCGTACAGTATTTTGCCGATATGAGCATTACGTCTATAAAACGAAAAACAGTGAATTACGATAGGTACCTCTTTTATTCGCCATCGTGCCTCGTTCTTCCCGAGCATTACAGCTATGCAAAGTATTGACAAGTATATCGATAATCCGGGCACGAGCCAATAGTCGGCCCAACTCTGAGGAACGATATATGCACCAAACCACTGCATGGCAATTGCCTCAATGAGCAGCCGCCGAGTTTCATACGTTTGTTCCGGTATATCCCGAGGATGTAAGATACACGACCGACAAATTATCATTGATGCGACAGAATTGACAGCTGCATACGAATTTTCGACAAACACAAAGTTGAGGCAACGGTAGGGAAAGAAGCCTTTTCGTGGAGCGTTTTCCTCGGCGGATACAGGTACAGTGCAACATTCGCCAAGGAGAAATCTCATAGTCTGTTTAAGTGATTGTAAAAGAGAAAGAACGTCAGCGCAGGTGCGAACATTCTAGTTGCATAAATCAATAGTGATCGTTGTGTCTGACGCACATCACCATAATAGTTTGTAGAGAACGTTTCTCCCAATAATTGCGCCTTATTCGGCATACAATACCCAAAGATTTCAGGCAACATGGAGATTTGATCATCTTTCTCTGCATACTGTAGCTGAAAACGCTCAAATGGACCAATAGCAAATCCTATATTATGAGCTGTTGTTTTGACGTCCAAATTATACTTGACGACCTTTTTCTCGGGGTCGGTTTTGTGATCTTCTTCACTGTCGAATGTACCACTACAAAGCACTGTAATCGGATACTGAAGACATAATTTCGGTACGATAAACTCAAAGTGCCAAGTTGGCTGCTCCATCAGATCATCCACACACGGTAGCCACAACCTCGTTCCACCAGGCGTTGGTCGATTGATCGTATATACGTGGGGCAATAGATCGCCTTCCGGCGATGTAGCCTCGGCAAACCATATCCCACCTTGTGGGTTAGTTAAGCTATATTCAATGTTGACACAAAAAGGTCGAAACTCGCCTTCCAGCTTCTAAGGATCAGAAATCGTTTCGTTGAATGAAACCCAGTAAAAATAGCAATCACAATACAAGGGAAAAGACAGGATGTTATGACCGACTTCACTCTGGGTCATCTTGGGTTCAGGAAGCTTTATCACCAATTCGCCACCACCGTCATTACGTATTTCGAAACTGGCCTCGATGAGGTTGACTGTCACTCTGTTTATTGCTATTGATTAATTAAATCACTCATGCATTATTATTTGCATCTAGAAAATACTAACATCTGTTCGCGAATGCTTACTTATTTGTCGACAATGCAATACTACCGACGGAATTACTTCTCGTAATGGCTTAAAGTATAAAGTCGTTGAACCCTGCGACGCGATTCGTGAGATCAGGTAACAATAGTAATTATCTAAATCCGAAATCATAAAAGACTGGTCAAATAAATACCTGCAAAACTTTGTCGGCAAGTTTAACTTCAACAGACACGTCCTGGCTCAGATTGTATGATTAAAACAAAGGGTAAGTCTACACACCTGTAGAAAGATCAACAGTTAACAACGAAACCGAAAGGCTCCAATACTCATGTTAGAAGGCCTGTGAGAGTAGTAAACTTGCTGACTGGATTGGTTTTGCTTTTTTCCATAGGAAGCGAAATACTTGCAAACCACAAAACGTGTCAAAGTTAATATACTATATATGTTGTCATCACGTGAACATATGTTACATAAATTGTCTGATCACCCAAATGAAGGAAAATACCAAATGAACACTGAAGAAAGCGGCATAAAAAAAATCAAAAGACGGAAGCATAAGCAGTCAAGTAAAGAATCTGTAAAACGCTCGGGCATTCATAATCAGGGAAATGCTGTCGTGAACCCGTGCGATTCGGAAACGCCTGAACCGGCAAGTCTCAAAATTAATGAAGGTTCTCAAACTTCAGAGGAAACAGTAGACATTGTTGATATTTCCAATAAGAAAGCTCCACAATACACCGAACAAGAAATGTAGGTACATACGATTCACTTGCAAAAGACGTAGCCTTATGTATCCTAACTCATCCTGCTTTGTCTAATTCCAGTAAGGAGCGCTTTCCCACAGTCGATGAGTTTCTTCGTCGGCAAAGATTAATTCGACTTGGACACGTTCTAGCTGCAGATGGGACAATTATAAAAAGACGCGTAAATAATCATTTTGTCTAGCTTTACGAATTGTAAGCCTTCTTTCTCATGATCTATTCATTTCAGAAACCACGGGCGGGGTTCGAAGGAACACGTGCTGCCATAGAAGACAGGATACTAAGTCTACCGAAACGCAAAGCTCTGAGGGAAAATGATAAAAAAAAGAAGAAAACAAAGGTATTACCGTAAAATGTATTTAATTGAGGTATGACTTGTTAGTGAATGAGTAGACCGGAGTTCTTGATCGAAGATAGTTTCGTTAGATTGCATATTATTTATCACTGTGATATAGTATTTGGTATTTTTTGTGTAGCGTTTGATATAGCTGTTTCAACAATATTAAACCGTAAATGCGGGCATGCAATTTCTCTTTATAGCATAATTTGTACGCAGTAGATAAGCATATTTTGACGATATTCGTTAGCTTGCACGATTGCCGTCAAGGGATGGCGCTGATGCACTGTCAGTAAATCCCTTGTACAAGCCTACTATAATATCGTCTTCTCCTCCTTTAGTCAAAGAAATAAACACATAAAAACGGGCCAAGATCCATAAGCGATGTCATCATTTGATAATAAATGCACACCAAGAGATAATTTTTTTGCTGATCTAATGAGCTACAGTGCTTGAATCGTATCTATAATCTGCCTGCAATATTGAAGTTTAACCCTCCTGCTGTCGGATAGATTTCGACGTCAAATGGAAGAATCACTACAAATGGGTGATAAAATACTGGTTAACGACGGAAACTATTTATTCTCTTAATATTAATTCGAATCCGTTTCAGTTAGGCAGGTAGAACAGCAGAATTGATATTTTGCTTTGTTGGATACATTGATATGTTATCATTAACCTCACAAGAATGTGGCGGTTATTTGATCATTCCGATTGAGCATATTAAGAGATTTTTGAAGCCCATTACGTGATGATTGAGGAGGGTCGTTGCATAACGTTGTTTTTTTTCTTTTCTTTTTTCATAATGGTAACGATGGCCAAAGAATTTTACCGTGTGCTCGCTTGATTGCATGCGGCCACCACGGCACGATCTAGGAAGACGGACAGAAATTAGTATCACGTGGATTTCCCAAATGTCGAGAAAGCTAACAACGGGTATATTAATATATACCTGGTCACTATGTGTAATAACGAACTTACACCAGGTAATGGGTATACCTGGCTACACGAGTATATAAAATGTCATGCACAAGAAACAAATTAATAATAGAATGGGAATGGCTGCATGCACGTGAACTCTGCCACTACAAGACATTTCGTCATTGAATAAGAGTTTTTCCTCTACTATTTCTCATCTCAGGCTCTTTCTGTCAAGATTCTTATCAAAAAGCTTTATTAGTCATCCCGCATTTTTGTTTGCGAATTCTTGACATGTGATTGGCTTTCGACAACTTTGTGGATTTTTCAGGATATTAGTGCGCTGTTAAACACACATTGTTACTTTCGTGGAGTTAGTAATGAAGAACAGGATTCTTCCTCGATAACTGAGAAACCAAATAGCAGACTTCACCAATCAACTGGGACGAATAGGGAAAAATGGCTTATAATGGTACCGTTGGGATTCGCAGTCTGTGTGAAGAGCAACGGAGGAAATACAAAAGTCTTATGGACAATGGACTCATCGCGCTAACTGAGCGAGAATCTACAGTATGTATTCCGCATACATGGCTAAATAAACGCAATCAAGTCTTGTTGAAATGCTAACTAACACACTAATATTCTCTGTTTAGAATTAGAATATTCGATTCTTTAGCATAAAAGGTGCGATCGCCACGGGTCCATTAATCCCTGATTGTAATAGGGGACACTAGATGTTACACAGCCGTCTGAAATGTTAATTTCTTTATCAGAATAGACAAAGGCACCGCCACCTTGGTTAAACAACTTTTAGAACTACTGTCAATCGTCTCCATACCGAAGAATAGAATATTTTTCTCTCTCTTGTTAATACTGTAAAAAATGGGTTCAGTTTACGCGTATTCAGATATGTCTTCGTCAAATCCAATGATTCCTCAACAACCGCCTATAATTTACAGACTGGAAGTTGCCCAACAGCCCGTAAGGGCTAGAATGTGTGGGTTCGGTGAGAAAGACCGACGTCCGGTAGATCCACCTCCCGTAGTCCGCCTCATTATGACTACTCCCGATGGAAAGCCCATACCCGCGAGTTCTGTGGACCACTCAATGTTTGCCGTCCACGCAGGACTATGGTCAAGTAACCGCAAGAAAGAACGTAATCTTGTCATTAGTCCTTCATCTATGGCAGCTCATTCCACCATCTCCATAGGATCATCCTCAAACGTTCTGTCATGGAATCCAACATATACACGTAACCTTATGGGATCGTTAACTTCATCCGCATATTGTCTGTTCAATAATCATGGACAACGGGAAATTTATTTTATATTTCAAGATCTTTCCGTGCGAACGGAGGGAACCTTCACGTTAAAGTTTCAGTTTGCTGATATCGGTCAACTAGTCAGATGTGGAGATCCCCAGAGCCAGGTGCGTGTTGAGGCTGAAGCATTTAGTGAATCGTTCACAGTCTATGCTGCGAAAAAATTTCCCGGCATGACAGAATCCACGGAACTCTCCAAAATGTTCGCCAAACAAGGCATAAAAATTCCTATTCGTAAAGAAAGGCGATATTCTAGATCTTATCTCGAGGATTACCAAGACGGGGAAACCCCTCATCTGGGAACTACGTCGCTTTTTTCGAATGAAGATCCCAATGTGGATAAGCTATTCGATGGCTACGATAAAGTGCCAATCTCTGATGACAATAATAATGACGATGGTGTCACAGATAACAATCTTCGATTAAGCACAACTGATAGTCAGGGCTATCTAAGTTATGAACGAATAAACACTTGAACTGTGGCTACACAATCTTGAGGAATATTCGAATCAATGGCTATTGATTATATAAGAAAAACCATATAGATATTTATTACAATTGTTAAAGACACTGTCAAAACAGGTCGGATGAATATGTTATGAAAGCTCCTGCGATATCTTCTTTATCGTTTTTTTTGCTTACATAGCCGAACTACCCATGCTTTATATGTAAAATCAACTATGGAATAATTTTCTGTTAATAAATTTTGTCAAAAGACGATTATATTATTTATATCAAATTACGGTATGGTGTAAGCAAAAATTGTGGATATAAGATTCCTAAACCTAAACCTGACCCGAATATAAAATAAAAATGGTGCGATTATAATGTTATTATCTGGCTGTTGGTAATCTGAAATGATACGAGAAATGTAGACTACACGCTGTAATAATTCGATTTATAAAATACATTCTTCACAACTGTCTACAAAATAATTCAGAAGCTGAATAACAATTATTGTTATGAATTAATATTACATCGTCATGAAAAGTATTCTTGACCCCTCAAAGTATACGTATGAGAGAATACAGTATTTTCCGTCAATAATAACATTGCGTCTATCAGATATTTGGCGACACCTATCAATTTTATGTTTTCGTTATAAACGTAAGATAAGATTTAGAAGAGATCAAACTTTACATGGTAAGTACCTATTACTATAAGTTTAAAAATCTTATATTTAATACTATCGAAATGCCTCGTTATGAATTTTTATTGTAAAGACTCATACACTATTGGATTCCTTATTATTAATATTAACTTTGATTTCGGCCTTAATTCTTCTAACATTCTTTTCATTAATCTGCCAATATTTCAGTCAGATCACCTTTGTTTTTTCCAGGCATACAATTGGATAAGGGGCATGCTGCAAAACCAGGCAAAGTGAACATTCAACTATGTGTACTAAAATGGCTGATGGGCTTAGAAATGAATGAATGAAGGCAGCTCAGATGAAATTTAACTTTATTCTAATTGAAACTGATACAATATTAATATAAATATATGGCCATGTGTATATAAATCTGAATCTGAAACTAATTTACATTCCACCATAGAACCCAAAACTACCATACTGTTACAAGCATTTGAAAGAAAGAACACGGAAGGGAAAAAAGTGGAAAAGTGATATTCTAATTATGACAAGAAATAAGCATTTTAGTCTATTTCTCCTCCCTACTACTACTTACTACTGTCCAATTAATGGGGGATGACAGAGAGAACGAATAAATTACACTTTTTTTATCTTCTTGCACTCATATCTTGCTTGGCTTATTTCACCATTTCACCGATCTCCTTCACCATTTAAATTGTCATCACCAACTACATGCCACAAAAGAACTGATGGGTAGTGCTATTAGCAATGTTGTTAAATTGTCGTGGCTTTCCTGGTTGACTTTTTCTTCTGCCTAATTTATCCAAATCTTTTCTTATGTTTAGAGTTTTAACTTTTTCTGCAACTTTGGCCAATGAGGTTTTTTTTAAATCAATTTCGGTTCTTTTCAAAATTAAGACAACTTCTGCATATTGTCAACCTTTTTTTTTATCGTATTTTTACTCGATAATCTAAACTGTCTTTTCTCACCGGTTTATTCTTCAAGCTCATAAAACGTTAGTTTTCTTTGCAGTAATAGGAAAATCACCAAAATCTTGACATTTATTCGGTTTTATTCTATGTTCTCTTCGGTATCTGTGTAGTTTTCTAAATCATATTCTGAAACAGTAATATATTGTCGAGTCAACAATCGCGGGAGAGCAATCGATCGTCAACTCTTGGGATTTAACTATCTTTCGAACGGAGCTGTGGTTTCTCCTACTTTAGTAAAATACGTGGTATAACGACAGTTAGTGACCTTTAAACTAGGCTCTACTAGTGTCAATCGGTAGACACTAATCCTAGACGGTTATTCGCCCTCGCGTTAAGTCCTCCGATGGGAGCCTATAAGTTGGGTATACTGGTATCTACTCAAATGTACAGTGAACAAAAAAAAACGCAAATTTTTTATGCTTGGAACCAAGTGCGCACAATTTAACCAAAAATTAAAGTAATTATGTCCTGTAAATTTTCCAGATTGTTTATTCGATGTGCTATGAACAAATTACATTGAAAGACTAAAATTATTTGAGATAGGTTAAAATTCGGTTACCATAAAAGTTATGGGCAAGAAAGGTATGGAAACGCCAAAATGCGAAAAATTTGGCTAAACAGAATCAATAATGGTTGAGGAGTGAGTAATTTGACCAGAACAGACTATAATTCAATTTTAAACTCAATAAAACAAGAATGTAAGCTTTTTTAAAAACTAAAGGAGAGCATATTTCAACTTTGAAAAGATAAGCAAATTACTTATTTTCCACCAAACTTTCCGAATTCCTTTCAAAAAGAAACTAATCCCGGTGTGACTTCTCAATAATGGAATCTACATCTCTTTAGCTTTTAAACGAGCTGTTATTTGTGCTATTTTTGTTATAGAGGTTAATAAACAACGGACTTTTTTGTAATTACGTTTTTTTTTTGTTACATACTGTACGTCTCATTTTAAGCGAATAAAATCGTGATGTCACGAGGGGCGGATATTCCTAATCGATATAGAGATTAGTGGTTCGAATAATTTACCAGAGAACGAATCATTAATAATGTGTTTCAGAGTATATAAAGAACTACTCGTTTACTAGAAAGAAATATTAATGATTATTAAAGAACATGATTAATTCTATCGGAAAATCGCGCTTTCCGTTTTCGCATATTTTTATCTACATATACTCCTACTCTTCCCATATTAATCGATGAACTAATTCTTGTCACTGTTACATCCGTTGCGTATATTATGCGAGTGGCAGTGCTGATGCAAAATGTTTGGGCTACGCAGAAATTAGGGAGTCGTCATTAACATATTAGTTTTCACAATATTCTTGGTATGGCAAAAAAACATAAACATTTAGTACACATACCTAGGATTATATTACAACTTTTACAAACCTGAAAATTAATATTAACATCGTCTCAATTCAGGAAATAGGCAAGTTATATGCACGGTTAAACTCTACCTATTACTATGGAGATAAAACAAAAAGTCAAAGAAAAAAAACCATATTCCGATAGCAAATAAGTGAAATCTTTGTTAAACACTTTATCAATTCCCATTTTCTTTTTGAACACTTACTCGTCCATTTTTAGGCCAAGTAATTCTTAAAGTAGAACCCATTCTAAACTTCAGTAAAACTGTGGACAGCATTTCAAATTCTTAACTCAAAATTATTTTCTTTTGATCGAACAATTTCTTTATCCTTATCCGCTGCTTCCTTTTCCAATAATTTGATTTGCTTAATAACTTTTTGTTTTTCTGCTCGAGTTTTGTTATTATGCTTCCTGTCTAGTATTTTATTTATCTTTTAATATATTATTATTGTATCCTTTTATGAGGGTATATCAAGCATATAATTATTTTAGAATTTTTTTTTATGTAAAAGTGAAGTGCTAAACATGAGAGTTTTTGCCTTAGCCTTCTCATCCTCTACACTCTACTGTCGATGAAGGCGTTATTACATCTATCGCACGACAAAATAGGTCGACATAACTCTTGGCATTTTTAGTAATGCGTTTAAACAATTCATCGTGCGTCTTTTGAAACTAAAATTTAAATGTGCAAAAAAACGGGCGACGCATGTAAGTTTGGATTCATAAGAATGTTCACGTAACAATTTGATATAATATACTTATTAAAAGCATACCGTGGATATATTCTCAAGTTCAATGCACAACGATTTTGTTTTCTGTCTGCTATTCGTTGCTATAAACGAAAACCGTAAGTAAATAAACGTTATGCCATTCGACGATGTAAGAATTCAAGCATGCGCGCGTTTTTTGATTTTTATCTTTTTATATCTATTTGAAAACTGACCAGTTGTATCCTGTATTTAAGTGTTCCCTCATTATCAACTATTATTTTGTTAATATATATTTAGGGAATTAATAACATCGCTGTTTCATCACACAGACGAAGGCGAATAATATATCACCGAAGGTCAGGTTCAACAGATGTTCCTGATAAAACGTAGCGGACGAAGAAATGCCGCTCATGTATAAAATATCTAATACCCGTTATACATTATATCGTAGATTATCTCGTTAATGAAGGTTAATTTCAGCGTTCTGCTTTGGTTTTACCCTCAGCAGCCAACTTACTTTTTTCCGCCTGGGAAAGAGGTCGTTTATATAATGAATTTTATATCATATTCGAACTCATCACTCTAGTGCTCAATTTCCCTCCCAGACATCTACTCGCGAATTATCACTAAGTGATCAAGTTGGTGTTCGAAATCTAAGTCACCGCAGAATACATGAGCTCGTCACCCGATCCAAAATACATGGGAGTGAATTTTTGACCAATCGAATAATTCCGTAGTAAATAGCAAAATCGGCTATTTACATAGTCTGTAACAATGTAGATACCTCATAGAAATTTTTTGAAAAGTTATTTTTTTAATTCTGATTAGATAAATCAATTTTATTAAAAGTTGATTAGTCAAAATCAACTACAAAAGAATTATTATCAGAATTTACATAATCTTTTGCTATCCTAATGATTTTTTTCCATAATCCAGTAATAACCTGTGAGTTTACCTTGTAAATTAGCAAGCCGATATTAAAGATATTGACAGCGAAATATAACGTTATTTGGTGACTCGTGTAAAAATATTCCTTCTATCACCCCGGCCAAAGTAGTAGCCTAAACTGTATAACATACGAAGAAGTTGCCACTTAGAAACTATATGTCCTTTTTCTGAAAGAAACTGCCGTAGATAGGGGTCGTCTGTTTTATTTGATTCAAACCTCCGGTCGGCCAATGATCTTATGTGGTGTGAAAGATCTGCCATTACATTTGTTCCAATCTTGAATAACCCTCCCAAAAGTACTTTCTGAAATGCCCAATACCACAGCAATACACTTGCGTAGTGTGAGCTTCTGATTACGTTTATTGACGGAGGTAGAATCAGAAAAATATTTATAAGCACTAACGATCATTCCCCGTCAACAGCGTTGGTTATCAATTGCTGGAAACATCGTAGATAGATCAAAGTATGCAGAATGATAGATATAGTATTACTTTATTACATACAAAAAATTTCTTGATTGAAACCTCTTATATTGAGGTATCTACATTTATGCACCGGACCATAAAAACAATACACGGCACAATTTGTCCATTAATACAACGGAGCGACACTTAAAAATATAACGCGTAACATTTTACTGCAGGATGTTTTGATCCATACATTCTAGTAATATACAGTGTGTAACGAAAATAATTGCCTTCGGATAATCAAGTGTTTTGCAAATAAACAAAACAATGCGTTGTTTATCATAAATTTTGGCTTTTATCTGGCAGAATTAATAGATGATGATGGTTCTCAAAATTATGAACCAAAAACTTCTCACTAATAATGATTTTTGAGACTCGAATAGAATTGAGAGAATCGAGCCATCCCCCTAGCCCGATCTCGGGCGACCCGATGTCTAAGTCCCGAATCAGACTTAACTGATCATTCTATCCGAGAACAACGGGCAGATTCGACATAGAACCAAAGCAAATGAAAGACTGGATAAGTAAACACGATCAACTAATGGAAGTATCTTCGATGGAATTGTCTCTGCGGAGTATGTTTATACTAATATCACATGACAATGTAATATCTGATAAATATAAACTGCTGCAGGTACTATACATATGGGGGTATGCTCTGCTTAGAGGCGAGTTACTTGGAGAGTCGGGCAGAATAGAATTAGTTTCTCCCGGACTATTCCCTCCTATAAGAATAACGATCTTTCTCTGAAAACTTATAAATATTTATTATTAACAACACTTTATATTAATACTATAAATTATTTAGCTTTTCCTCGAGCTAACGCAAGCATTATCTATTTCACGATGGAAATAAATAAAGCTTCCCCCTAAGATATCACTACGATTTTGTTCAGAACAGTATAGTATATGCTTATTGGTAGTTAACTTGAATACAGGAACACATTGTTCTGAAGGAAGTACTATACTTGTAAATACACTATTACATCTTTGATTCGATAATAGAGCTTTGTAAGTCTTAAACCTTTTGGCGTTTTTAAGTTCAAATTCAATTTCACCAGAAACACTATTTTGCCGTTTATCTGTAATAATACTATTAATTTATCTTGTAAGTAATCAATAGAAAAACCAAGGCCTCAACAGTAATATAATAATAATGCATACCAGTAAGCAATTTTAATACTTTCTTGCGGCAAATTTTCTATTTTTATTTTGCAAGAACCGTTATTACTACATCTGTAGGCTGTTATGCATGAATAAATAGATGACAATATTACTGACTTGTTACATGTTTACATAAATAACCATCACAGTAGATCTTTACATTCATTAAATATACTAGTATTAGATAGTAGATAATCAAAATTATATACTTACCAGAAATGCATACTTCAGTAATATTGGTATTGTCCTTGTGAAGGTGCATTGCAAATATCACATAATCGCCAAGCAGCATAGTCTGCTGTGTCACATAACAAGTGATTAAGACAACTTTTTGACTAAAGCCTTTAATATTTGGAATCATTGGCAATGGAGCAACAAACTTATCATCTCTCTTTTTTCCTTCAACAACACCAACCTCAACAGGTAATTCGTCAACTGTTTGGAAGATGAATGATTGTGGATATCCTGTGATAAAGTAGGCTATTTTCAAAGTATGTGTATATCTCTTCCGAAATAAATTGTTGAAATTACCAATTTCCTGAACTTTGGATACATGTAAGTTTGGTGGCCCACTTGCCATTTGTTCAATATTCACTGCAAATATTGCATCATCCTTGTCATCACGCATGACTTCTGCAAAAATTTGATGCTGGCTAATTCCCTCCCATACATTAGAATTGATTTCTAGTGGACGCACACATAGATATTTGGTCTTTCTTGAGAGCTTCAATTCATTAATCCCATGATAGCATATTCTTGGACCAAATGCTTTGATGATAGTATTTCGTGTAGTTCCCTCAAAAATTTCAAATATTGGAACTATATCTTCATAATCCACTATCTCCAAGGTAAAGTGATCTCGGAGTGTTTCAAGCCATTGTTCTTAATATTAAAGGGGGGGGGTGTAGGATGGTGGAGAAACAAAGTTTAGCCATAGAACTAGAAAAGTTTCGTCTTTATAAACTTAATACCTGTATCATCTTCATACTTGTAAGCTGCCTCATCTCCACCAATAACTGTTATAATCTTGTCCAAATTGCTAGATGAGTTTTGGTTCAGCGTTTCATTATTCCGATTTATCCCACCCATTGTTTCCAATGGTGCTGTTCTCAACGTGGCATCAATGCTGATTTTCCCACCAATCGGTTGAACATTGGTTTCTTTATGCTCTTCCTCGTTTTTGATAATCATTCCTCCTAGTCGTACTGTTCTCGCCCAAAAATGCCCATATTTCTCGCAAATTTCATTCAGTGCGTTACGCATCTCCTTTTGACTTCTCAACTCCAAAGCTCGCTCTACTTCATTTCTAAATTCCTCGGAAGGTTTTACATGTTCTCTTTTCAGCAATAATGCCTTTCGATCATGCCTTTGGATTATCCGCCGTGAATTATGTTCAATTCCGTTTGATGCTTTTTGCGCAAATCGTGCGCCTATCGAGCCGGTAAATGGTAACCTAGTATCATCAATTGTCATTATGTAAGAAATTGCGTTTTTAATTAAATAAACATAAATTAGTCATTCGTACTACTCTTTTCTTCAGTTGCGTACAAGTTGGATAACGCAACTTATCAGTTGTATTATAAAAAGCTGTGCATTAAGCTACCCATCAAGAGACATTCTTACCATGACATATTCAAATCTAGTTTCCATTCAATGCCATTTTCACAGAGTTTCTTGTTACTTTTTTCAAAACTACGTCCACAGTCACGGCGAACTGAGAGAAATTCATATCTGGTAAACTTGAATGCTGTGCTATCAGACTGTTTTGGTCCATTTTCAGTCCATCGAATGCCACAATCTAACTTTTTCTCTTTAATTAAACGAGGCACTACTTTTTCAAGGTTCTCGCTTCGCTTGATGCAGAGATTATTGTTGTCACCGAGTATCTCGTAGAGAAAAATGTTTGCTTCTCTGCTCCTTGATATCACATACGGGCGTCCAATATTACAAAAATACATATCGTCCTTCATAATGGATTCGCCATTTTCACATTGCGAGAGCTCCCCGCGGATTTTCTCGAGCGTCATTGACGTATCTAACTTTGTCGCTTTCGGCACTTCTGAATGTGGGCAATTGATAAAATCTATATTAACCAGTCTGCCCATTCTCTAGTCTTCTGATACAAAACAATTCGAAATTATCTCTTAAACTATATTAGTATTAGAGGCAAATTTACCTCGCTGGAAACAGCTACTACTACTATTGCATAAAGTCACATGACTCGGTGTTGCAGATAGATTGAGATAATCTGTGAACACCCTTAACCTTGCATTGTCTTCGTTGTAAAATGCATTTTAACTTTATTGTAAAATATATAGTTTATTATTATTGAAATTGCAAAAACTAAATAAAATGTTTGTCTTAATAAACAGATTGATAATAACACAGTAAAATGATGTCTGGAACGGGCCTGTATTTAAAATTCGTCTATTAAGATCTTTGACTTATTAGATTTGCAGAAGATATCGTCTAATAATAGAGGGACCCTATCATATTCAGCCGTCAGGATTTTTGGGAATCTTTGACTCTTGAATTAATTAGATATTTCCCCGATTCATCGAAATGAACTCTGCCAGATAATTTAGTTAGTGAAGCGATAGGAAGAGATATTAGCAGTCTAGTTTTCCTAGAAATCGGCATCTTTAGTTCGACTTTTTATTCGATATTAAATTTCTTGCAATTAGAATAGTCCTTATATTCTCAATAAACGCGTTCAGTGTAGAGAAAATTCCCCCGATCTATAGGCTTTAGAACTAATCACATCAAAAGAAATAGACGCAGAACTCGAAGATCTAGGAACGCCGTATACAAGTGAAACTCGATAAGCCGAAGGTCGCAGGAAGGGACAATTTACGGTATTCGGCTTATCGAGATTTTCGTTTTATCAAATTTCGCAGTAAGCCGAATTTATATATGTTTACACAAGCTTTCGGCTTATAACAACACTATATATAAACTTTTTTAGATATATATACAAGCCGCGCGCGAAATGGATGCATGAAGATCGTTCGAGAATGGCTATGAACAATCAAGCGATTGTTTATGACATTACAATGGCATGTGAAAAGAATTGTCTGCGCTAATAGTATTTCTGATTTTTCTATCATGGGATTAAGAATGAACCAATCAAGATAAATTCACGTGATTATTCAAGATAAAATTAAAATCTTCGGCTTATCGAGTTTCACTTGATCTAGAATCGTAAAAACAAACGTTAAGGGGCCTCGTTCGAAGGTGGTCGATATAGATCCGACAACACTTTTGCAAAGCTTTTTAGCCCATTCGATCTTTTTATTAACAGCTCAGGTGGAGATACCATAATAATAATAATAACCTCAGATTAGATACTTGTTTGCAGATCTTAGCTTCATCTGGAAGTACTTTTTCACGGGAAATGGCTGATCCAAATAACATAATCGAGGATTTCAGGCTATGCCACGGTTTACTGTTTGATCAAATTGGTGTTAGTGTGCGTCTTGCCAGTAAGTGTGCAGTTCAAGCGAATTGGTCCATCGAGGAATCACAAAAGGCAAGACCCTCTGTACAGCTTATAAAGACTCACAGAATACAAGATACCATTATATACGAAAATAACCTTGCACTTGATAAAGAGGGCACCCTCTTTAATCCCCCGAAAGCACTTGAGCGTTTTAAAGAAAACAATCCTCTTTATGAAAAGACGCCCGATAAGGCGATTATCTTCCGAATAGACAAAGAACTATGGAATATCAATTTTACACGTGATGATATCAAACCAACCGATGAATTTGTTGAAGCAATAAAGAAAGCGATTGAACATGAGACACCACGTAGAGCATTGGACGATGTATTCTCTGAATACGGATATTGGTTGAATTGCAAATTTAAAGTGGGCAGCAGGTTAGAACGCTTTATTCAATTTGAACCTAAACAAGACCATCATCCCAAGGATGTTGAATTACGTCAAACAGAATGGATGGGCGGTAAGGGCTTAGACAAATTTTTAATTAACCTGCAAACCAACAGCGTCCCAAAAAGTGTTAAATTTTAGAGTTTATTTTCAAAGATGGTGAAAATATTCTATTCAACGAAATCTACGATGAATGGTCAAATGAGATACTTCCGTTTTTTGAGGAAAATTTCTTATTTTCAGCTGACGGTTGCGTAGTAAAAGCCGGGTAAGGAATTCGCACGATTTAGAATTATGTTCTTTAGCAAAAATCTAATAAATATTTGAACGCTAATAGGGGAATCAGCGCATGGTTAAAATATAGTCCGAGAGTATCTAACCAATGGAGTGTAATTGAAAGAGCCGACTTTGTTCCAACTTATAAATTTTTAGATGAATCATTAATTGCCAACATCGAAAAGTTATTCAGTGATGAAACAGAAATACTCATGATTGGAAAATCACCGATAGACTGTCGGTCTGATTTTTGTCAAGTCGGGTTCTCTCAACCGCTATTGAGCAATGCATATAAAGTTCATGGGGAAGTCTACAACCGAGGGGAAAGATGCGATGTGGATACAACGCTATATTCTACCAGCATTTATGGATTTTCTCTCGAAATTGAATGGCATGAATTTCCGTAAGTTCTCCTATATAACGTGTCTCGTTAATATGCTGACTGTGCTAAAAAATATTTATTTGATACGTATTTAAGTGAAAAGGTTGAAGATCTTCATGTCAACTGGGCGTTGTCAGGGAATCGTGTTAGGCTTGGTTGTCAACATGGAATTGGAGTAGAAAAAGATGAACGAAAGGTAGTTGAAGCAGCCGACAAAGTAAATACTGTTGCACAATACAATATGTTAAACAGAAGCTTTGAGACTGTGGAAACGAGTCTTCTTCTAGTTGCCCATCATGTCCCCTTCATTGAGGAGGTCGCCAACGTAGCGGGACAGATTTTCGATGTGATGCAGGAGGCCCATTACAACAAGGCGATATGCAAAACTATTGACAACATGGTTTTATCCAACATGGCTTTTCTAGGATCATTAGATAAAGAGGAATACAGCAACAACAAGTCACTTGAGGCTTTTTTGAAAGATTTCTACATTCCGACTCTGACTGAGATTGTGAAAACGATCAGAAAGAGTGAGTCAGCTCTTGATTTTCCCAGATATTATACATCAGGTCGAGACGTAAGTGTCCTTTCGGGACTCAATGTTTATGTTTTTGTGGATTGTGATAAGTACTAAAATAAAGATTTTGTCCATAGGATTGGAAAGCCCTACAAATTGTATCAAGCAAATTAATTCACATCCAGCAGCATCTGCTTGTGCTTCAAGGTAGAGGATATGGACGTATGATGACCAAGCTTGTTGAACAAACGCTCGAGTCGCGGAGAGATGAATCATCAGATAGTTATGAATTACAAGAATCCGTCATCCGCCTCCATAAATATGCATTAGGCATTTGCGAATTACAAGAATACGTCGTCCGTCTCGAAAAACTGGTGAAAATAGACGAATTACAAAATACGATGGCATCCATACCAGATCCGAGTAAATCGCGAGGACCTGGCGTTCGGCCCGAAAATATGCGGGATACCATAGCATCCGTAACACGTAGTATTGAGATACCAATAAAGAATATATCCGATTTTAGTAGAGAAGAACCGGTTATAAATGGAAAAATAGTAAGAAAGTTATATCATCGACAGCAACAAGTGGCGCAGAAATTTTTGGGCCAGGTTAAAGCGACCGAAAAAGATAATATCAATTTGATGCTTGGAATTTTGAAATTGATGGACGATTGCGAAAATGTGTTAAAATTGTAAGTTTTGTTTTATTTTAACGTTTTTGTACACCGGTTTGAGCTCATATTCATAATGTCTAATGAAATTTCGATAATTCTCAGTATAGGCACGCTTCAAAATAGGGGTTCACTATATATGATTACTCAATGGTGTGAAAATGGCAATCTCAAGGACTATCTTAAAAACGCTCCCGCAAACTTGGATTGGTCCATAAAACTTAAAATAGCCACTGGAATTGCCAATGGACTTGTCTTTTGTCACGATCGAGGAGTACTCCATCATGACTTGAGAAGTCATAACATTCTACTCGATGACAGATTATGTCCAAAACTTTCTGGGTTTCTGCTGAGCAGATTTAAAATAGCTTCGCCGAAGAATCGGAGGCCTAAATATATAGTGTAATAAGAATTTGTATTGATTTAGTGGAACTTACGTGTTAATATTAATTATTTGTTCCCCATCGCCCCTCTGCTAAATTCATATCTCAGATATTTTCCACCAGAAAAGATCGCTGACATCGAACAGCCATATAGGGCCCCCGGTGATATATACAGGTAACATCAACAGAATGCAAAAGTTTTATAAAATTCGTGTTAAACTAACAATCACGGTTTGTACAGTTTTGGGATACTTCTATGGGAAATCGCATATCAAAAAAAACCGATGAAGGATAAATCGAACAAGGATATCGTACAGCTCATTTTGAACGGTGGCCGTCCAGAAAGCACTGAAAAGATTGAGATCATAGAGGAATACGAGAAAATTATGAAAGAGGCGTGGAGTCAAGAACCGGACAAGCGTCCAGAAGCTGATGAAGTATACGAGAAGCTGTTGAAATTGTCTAATGAGCGTGGGTTAAACTCCCCAACCGAACACCCGTCAACTGAATCACCTCGCGAAAACTCGGCATCTGAGCTGCTGCCATGTTTGGGTGAAGGCGTACCAGACATAGAAGAAATTAAGCAATTGCATAGAGCTGGAAGATACGAAGAGGCCTTTGCTAAATTCACCAAGCTGGCCGAATCTGGCAATGCTGAGGCCTTTCACTATATAGGACTGTATTACGAAGAGGGATTTTGCGTTGAAGCAAACGAAGCCACTGCCATGAATTATTATGGAAAAGCTGTTGATCGAGGCCATATCAAGTCAGTTTATAAGTGCACCGAACTTAGCTTGCGTCGCTCGTCCAAGTACGTGGAAAAAGCTGCGAACGATTACTATGCCTTTTCCCCCAGTTTCGGAAAATGCCAAATCATGGATAGTGGCTCTAGCCTACGTCTGAATATTCCATTCTCAGGCTCTGTATTACCAAAATATCTTTCAACTGACGAGAAACTTGCGGTAGTGGAACAAAGACTGCTTGGAGTAGAATTCTTTTTAACGGAATACGTAGACGATGTCGTAAAAGATGAAAAGGCTATGAAGGGTGTTGGTGAGAAGGATACAAACGTTTGAATCGATATAATTTACCGCTCCGAACGGGAACTTGGGATGTTCATCGACAGGAAATGTATGAATTTCAACTCAACAGGAAAACTTCTTCAGAAGGTCCATCCTTATTATCATCACAAAAAAATTATAAAATACTGAATCGGTTCGATGATACAAGATAACGTAATGGTGCATTTAGAATTCGAATTGTGCTTCGCACGTGATCAACAATTATTTTTGTGGCTTTCGGTTATTCAGGTTTATGGTATATACTGTATCGATGTAAGGTAGCATTAACATGAGAATTTTATTTGATTTAATTATATACAGGATTAGGTATATCGATATATGGAATAGCCGTATTCAATATCTCTAAAAAAGTACCTAAAAATCGTCTTCTACCACAAACATCTTCGGCCTATTGGCTTTCTAGGCTTACTCTCAAAACTTGCTTTTCCAACTCTGATTCGGCTTTGGCTTCTTCCCTAACTCACTACCAAATCCTTGCCGTTCGCCTGCTACACCTACGTAGCCTCCCAACAAATTACCATCTAAGAAAACTTTTGTATTCTTCCATAATACAAGGAGGCAATGTCTGATATTTTTGTGTTTCGTGGTGACATATTAATTTGAATTCAGTTATTTTGGTGTTGGTGGTTTTGCCACTGACTGGTGTATTGTGATGTGGCAGGATAGGCGGTTGTTTTTTTCGGATTTGACTGTGCCACCCATGTGCAGAGGGAGGGTACGGGACACCATCGCAGGCAACTGCAATCCACTTACGGGTTCCGTCTTTAATACCTGATATCGTTTATATATGTAAGAGAACTTTTTCAACATTTGCTATTGAATTAGGATTAACATCAAGTGGATCAGGGATGTAATATCTGGAATTTTGACTCTTTGGTCAGTAACTACTGATGGTTGAGTTAGGCTTATCCTAGGAATAGATATAGTGTAAGAACACTGTATGGTTTAAAAATGAGTGGCTTAGCTAATCGATCTGCATTGTTAGTTTCAGCTTCAGCTGTTGCATTTCAGTCAACGTTGGCAGTCGCATTCTGCAGGTGGGGCACACCTGTTTTCTATTCTCAATGTTCTGTTGATTGCAGCTTGGACATTTTTTCATACTGTTAACATTTGTCGCTGTAGATGCTATAATAGAATAGTTGTTTATGATGATAATTTTTCTTCAGATAACAAATTAAGAATCTCAGAAACATATAATTCTTTGTCGATGGCCTCTTGCATTTCAGAGCTGATATCACATAGTTCTACCGAGAGCACATTTATTTCATTTAGGAACTTTTGGCCGCCACCGCCACCGCGTGATAATTAATATCAAGAGATTTGTGGCGTTATTGCAATCTGTCAAGAGAATAAGTCCAGGGTGAATCGGTATGTTGAATTTTGTTTTGCGATGCCATATTGAGAACCACAAAACTGGTACAATATGGTAAACCATTGTATTAAATCTACGATCAAGATAGGTTTTCTGGCCTTTTTGTTCATTATCAAACGCAAGAAACAAAGGCCCTCCGGTAACGGTTCTTCGCGTTCCGACAATTCTTCTAACCGGGTTTGAAACCGAGAATAGCCTCCCGCACTTGTAATATGATTATCGATATTTTTGATCGTGCGATTGAATATTTAATAGCTGATGCAGCAAGATAAATTTCCGAGACATGTTGTGCACCATAGATTGAATCAACCGCAACAGCAGTTTTAAAGGCTCAAGGGAATATTGCCGTCTCGATTGTTTCTCACCAGAGTTTCAACAAACTTAATATTAACAATGACTTTCGTGCGGATCATATGCCATGAGATTGTCTATCGAAAACCTTTTGTTATCTCGGATTAATGATTCTACATCATCATATAATGATATGAGTTCTTCTTTTGCTATTTCAACGATTGAATCAAGACGTTTACAATGATCAGAAAATCGTAACTGCCAGCGTTCAGTAAGAACTTCATTCTGTTTACGTTCTTCAGTTCCGAATCTCTGTCATATTGTCGTAAACCTTCTGTAGTTGTTTCTTTAGTTTTTCGATTTCTGTTCTCTTCAAGGTGCTGCTGCATTCGTGCAATTTGATTAGTTCTGTTATCGACTGTGATTTCTGTCGACTTTCTAGCTGGATATACCGCTACATCCGGTGCTATCAGTTTACCGGGTTGAGAAGGATTGTAATGATCTAAGATACCGCAAACGCGTATTGAGGGGATCAACTCCAAATGCCTTCTAATTTTGTCAAGATCGGCGACATCTTTTGTTTTCTTATGAGATGCTCTACAAAAGAACAAGTGAACATGGCAAACATTCTTGAAAGGTATGTTAATATTAGGGAAAGAAAAGCATAGATCAGTATTTTACGCAAAATATAATTATTTAATGGTATCTCGTAATTTGAGTTGACTGTATAAGAAGTGCGACGTTCACGTCCATGTTTAATGTACAATTCTAATAAACGAGGGGTTCTTTATAGTCTGAAATACATTATTAATGATTCATTCCTGGTAATAATCGTATAACTAATCCAAACATCGATTAAGAATACCCGCTTCTTCTCGTGGCATTACAATTGCTATTTGCTTAAGTGAGAGTGCATTTTAGATAAATACAAGTAAACACACCCTATAGGCTTCCGAATTAGTCTCATCGAAAGTGAATTCGAGACGAATAACTATCTAAGATTAGTGTCTACCGATCGACACAAGAGCAAGTAGTAAAGCCTAGTTTATAAGTCACCAGCTGTTGTCATATTTAACTAACAGCCACAACTCCATTTGAAAATGGCTAAATTTCAAGGTCAGCGATCAATGTTCTCCACTATGTCCGGTTTTGAGCTGTTGGCCGACTTATCGAGGTTGACTTGTATCTTCCGCTTGAAGATTCTTTGGCAACAATAATGTAGAAGAATAATAATAAATATAGAGGGTGAATCGTTAGACAGTGAAAATCTACCAATATTCATGACTATTATCGTTGTCGACTATCTTCAAAGGCAATCTTACTTATGACTTCAAAATTCAGAATTGGAAAGTGAACCGTTTTATAGAAAATTTTGAGCAATAAGCAAAATATGAACATACAGTATGAGCAATACAATCAGATAATAATACAAACAAATAAAATTTATCGAATTCTAGATGATCAATCACTACTAATATAGTGAGACTTGCGGTTTATCGCGATTTTACATATTAATATTAATATGTACTCTAGATGCGCTAAGTTCAGTATTAATTTCATGGTACTTTAATTGTAAAAAATTTAGGACTACCAAATAGTACTCTAAATTCAAAATTCAAATTCTCAACGAAAAAGAAGATATTTGGACAATATAATAGCGCTTCTTTTGCGCTTTTGATTTTATGTGTTCTTTATTAAGCACAGCTAATGTGGACCTCTAGAGCTGCTTTTTTCATATTGTAACTACTACATGTTTAAGCTTAATAGGCATTTAAAATTTAAATTAAGATGAAATAATAGTGAAAGTTATGTAAATGGAGGGGAATAAATTATAATGTGGTGGTTGATTCTTTTTCGTTGAATAAACGTCGGCTCTAGGTAAACTAGTAATTTTACTATCTAACATATTGTAATTTTTGTGTATAAGGTGCGCTAAATTCAGTATTGATTTCACGGTAATTGCATTGCTCGTTATGCCAATATTCGCAAATTTAGGAAGTGGTCGGTAAAATCTTACGGGACGATTCATAACCATCCTATAAGACTCAATTCTATGAGACGATTCACAACCATCCTATAAGACTCAATCCTATGGGACGATTCACAACCATACTATAAGACTCAATCCTATGGGATGATTTACAACCATCCTATAGGACTACAATTCTATGGGACGATTCACAACCATCCTATAGGACTACAATTCTATGAGACGATTCATAACCATTGTGTATCTAAAAAGGATCTGACTATGTTTGGTCCAGCCAGGGACTATCCAGGATTCGATCATGGGTCCGATTACTCGTTTGCAGATCTTAGCTTCATCTGGAAGTAGCCATTAACGTTAATCATAACCCGCTTACCACAATTCAGAAATGGGCATTCCAAATAACATAATCGAGGATTTCAAGCTATGCCACGGTTTACTGTTTGATCAAATTGGTGTGCGTCTTGCCCATAAGTGTGCGGTTCAAGCGAATTGGTCCATCGAGGAATCACCAAAGGCAAGACCCGCTGTACAGCTTATAAAGACTCACAGAATACAAGATACCTTTATATACGAAAATAACCTTACACTTGATAAAGAGGGACCCCTCTTTAATCCCCCGAAAGCATTTTCTCGTTTTAAAGAAAACAACCCTCTGTATGAAAGGACGCTCGATAAGGCGGTTATCTTCCGAATAGACAAAGAACTATGGAATATCAATATTACACGTGATGATATCAAACCGACTGATGAATTTGTTGAAGCAATAAAGAAAGCGATTGAACATAAGACACCGCATAGAGCATTGGACGATGTATTCTCTGAATACGGATATTGGTTGAATTGCAAATTTAAAGTGGGCAGCAGGTTACAACGCTTTACTCAACTTGAACCTGGACAAGACCATCATCCCAAGGATGTTGAATTACGTCAAACAGAATGGATAGGCGGTGAGGGCTTAGACAAAATTTTAATTAACCTGTAAACCAACAGCGTCCCAAAAAGTGTTAAATTTTAGAGTTTATTTTCAAAGATGGCGAAAATATTCTATTCAACGAAATCCACGATGAATGGTCAAAGGGAATACGTCCGTTTAAGGGCAGCTACTTACTTTCAGCTGACGATTCCGTAGTAAGAACCGGGTAAGGAATTTGCACGATTTAGAATTATGTTCTTGTAGCAAAAAATCTAATAAATATTTGAACACTAATAGGGAAATCAGCGCATGGTTAAAATATAGCCCGAGAGTATCTAACCAATGGAGTGTAATTGAAAGAGCCGATTTTGTTCCAACTTATAAATTTTTAGATGAATCATTAATTGCCAACATCGAAATGTTATTCAGTGATGAAACAGAAATACTCATGATTGGAGAATCACCGATAGACTATCGGTGTCCTGATCTTTGTCAAGTCAGGTTCTCTCAACCGCTATTGAGCAATGCATATAAAGTTCATGGGGAAGTCTACAGCCAAGGGGAAAGATGCGATGTAGATATAACGCTATATTCTGCCAGCATTTATGGATTTTTTCTCGAAATTGAATGGCCTGAATTTCCGTAAGTTTCTCTTATATAACGTGTCTCGTTAATATGCTGACTGTGCTAAAAAAATATTTATTTGATACGTATTTAAGTGAAAGGGTTGAAGATCTTCGTGTCAAATGGAAGTTGTCAGGGAATCGTGCTAGGCTTGGTTGTCAACATGGAATTGGAGTAGAAAAAGATCAAAAAGCAGCAAGTTATCAGCATGAAACTGGAGTAGAAAAAGATGAACGAAAGGTAGTTGAATTATATCAAAAAGCAGCCGACAAAGTAAATACTGTTGCTCAATACAATATGTTAAACAGGAGAAGCTTTGAGACTGTGAAAACGAGTCTTCTTCTAGTTGCTCAGCATGTCCCACTCATTGGGGAGGTCGCCAACGTAGCGGGGCAGATTCTCGATATGATGCAGGAGGCCCACCATAACAAGGCGATATGCAAAACTATTTACGACATTGTTTTATCCAACATGGCTTTTCTAGGATCATTGGATAAAGAAGAATACAGCAACAACAAGTCACTTGAGGATTTTTTGAGAGATGTCTACCTTCCGACTCTGACTGAGATTGCGAAAACGATCGAAAAGAAAAAGTCGCCTCTTGAATTTGTCGGAGTTT